CGCTTTTTATTTTCATGTTTAAGCTTATGAAATTGAGAAGCACCTTACAAATGATGTCAAGAGACTTTTGGGCTTGAGGTAAGGGAGGAGGTGAAGTGGCAGCTATTACTGCCTGCACTAACTTAACCTTGTATGATATCACATCCAATAGCATGTTACCATGAATTTGTATCCTTAATTGTCCCAATTGAAGTGGTTTTTAAAATATCAGTCACAGCACTGAAATGAAAAGTTACTATGCACTTAAAATTCCTGCCACACGTCAAGCAATGCAGCTTTAGGCAGAAGGAACTGAAAACTTTCTTACAACTAAGCAAAGGATTGTCACAGTTAGGAGACATTGGTATGACTGGTTCTTGCATGCATGGTAAAGAACTGTCAAAGGCCACCAATTATTTTCAAGAGAAATTGTTTAAATTTCAGCAATGTATCATTCAGGAAAAAACAGAACTACCCAAATTAAAAATATGCAAACAAAAATCCAGTATGCCCTAAAATTTCACTGTCATCCTAAAGGTGTTAATGAAATCACAGCCTCAAGCACAGGTAATCAAAACACCAGGTCACTATGATAATGAACAACAGGAACTAATAAGAAATCCATAGACACCAAACTTGAAGTGTTTTTGCACCAAACTTTGTAATTCTTTAGAAGAATGTGGTTGTGTATTTGTATAGATAAGTATGTGCTACTGCTAGGAAAACATAAAATTATGTGCATTTAATGTAGTGTTTCTCTTCTTTCTAAAAGATTGTTATCAAATCAATAGATCATATTCCACTAGATAGCATCTTAGAACTGAGGCTGTATTTGTATAGATAAGTATGTGCTACTGCTAGGAAAACATAAAATTATGTGCATTTAATGATGTAGTGTTTCTCTTCTTTCTGAAAGATTGTTATCAAATCAATAGATCATATTCCACTAGATAGCATCTTAGAATTGAGTTAATCTGGTAATACCTTCTCCTACAGCCTTCACTAATACAAAAGACCATGTACTACACACGATGCAGAAGCTCTTAGGCTGGCAGAGAAGTTTATATCCTTCTTGACCTCTTTGTGTAACTAAAAATTATGCCAAGCAGGCTATGAAAGGAGAAATAATTGGGCAAATGAGAAAACAAAAAAGGAGGAGATATTTTTACAATGGAAAAATGTGTGGTATGTATTAAATTTTTTAAAGTTCTTGTTTTCCACATCACTTACTTCCAAGGATGGTCTGCGGTTTGTTCTTGTTATATTTCTCCTGGAATTTCTGGTAAAGGATATTAGAAACACATAAAGTAAGATCAAAGCACCACTGGACTATAAGAATGTCCAAATAATTACATAGAACAGGATTCTTATCTACATCATTTTCATTGTTATTTTATTTATTTCAAAGAAGAATTCAAAGCAAAAGACATTAAGTGCAATGAAGAATAAAATGTGATGAGAATGAAACATGGAATTTATAATGAAGGTATGCCTCATGAACATGTCTTCATGAACACTTCCAGCTTCATTAAAAGCCTCAGGGAACCAGAAATCTCCAGCTCATGTGTCTAGACCCAGGCTGAAAGAGCTCTTACCAAGACTGCCTTTCTCCTTCTTGTTTCTTTCTAGTCTTCGCTTTTTCTCCTGCCTACAGGAGACAACCACCATGAACACCGAAATGTCACCTTCTAGAACAGCTCTAACTCTGTAACCCGATATATTCAATTAACATAGAGGTTTGTGACTCCAGATTTCCCTCTGAAGGCTCACCATCCTACAGTTAAGTAAATAAGTACACACCTTGAGTAGGTGTTATCACTACAACAATCACTTTAGAAATATATCTAGACAGCAATAAAAAAGAGCAAAAGCTCAAACAGATAATATGAAGCAACCAAGCTAGATATAAGTAGGTAATATTCACAGATTACTAAGAGATTACCTTGGTACATGGAGGCGCTGCATCTCTGCAACCCTTATGGACGTTTGCATTACAGTCTGAAATAAAGGGGAAAGATACAAAAGCATCCATCTTATTTAAGTTAATCTGAAATGAGTAAGACTACATCATGCTTTTTCTGGTCATTATAAAAATAACATGTAAACTTTTAAAATATTTAGAAACTTAAGAAGGAAAGAAGAATATTTCAATCACACATAGCCCACACCTCAAGCCCAAGCACACTGGTAATATTGTAATTTCCTTCGCAATATTTCTCTCCCCTTCTGCACAGGGTCTTATCAATTATGAAACCTGGAATTATGCATGATATACACTCCAGTGACGCTCCTGTGTCTGCCTGAGAACTCGTTTCCTATTACACAGCATTCTTTTGTACTGGATTTCTGATATTTGCCAGGTAGCAACTCCCCATACCAAGTAAAATGCCTATGATGATGCAAAGAAAGAAAAACTCATAACAATGCTGGAAAAAAATGTATTTTCAGGCTCTGACAAGAATTTCAACTAACTAGAAGTTGGAGGTAGCCAAGTTAAATGGGAAAAGTTAGCCTTTTGCCCATGTTTTAAGTCATAAAATGAATGTGGCCTCACCTCACTGGAGGAAGGTAAGGTAACACTTTCCTTGGCCCCTTCTGCCCCCAGATGCAAGGCCCAGGCTGTGTTCATGAACAGCTGTGCCATGTGGGGGTTGCTTTCTGACAGGCTGTCATCTTCCTGCCCTCTCTCCCTTCCCGTCTGCACATCACCCACATGACCCTCTCATCCCACCCCATACACTGTTTCTGAGATGGAGCAGCCTGGGGTTACCAAAAACTTCATCAGAAGCAATCCTTGTACGGGGGTAGAAGATCCCATTTAGGCCCAGCAAAGCCATGCTGGATGAGTGCCAGTATCCCACTAGAACCAGGCAAGAAGCTGAGCTCCGTGTGTCCTCCAGCTGGAGGCAGCTCAAGAGGCATTTTAGCCAACCCCCCACAGCCAAGGAGTAGAGCTGAGGCTAACCTATGTACGGGCCCTGCTGGGAAACACTGAGATCGAACAGCTCTCTTTTTATTCCAGAAAAGTAAATTAAAGGAAAAAGAAAAAAGCAGGAGCTATGAGATACCACATAACAAAGTTATATTGAAAACTCACAGGAAGAGCAAGCCACTGATTATGAAGCCCCAAAATGGAGAAGAAAAATTGAGATATTTGAAATGTGTTCTTGGTAGGAGACAGAAGAAGACAGGGCCTCAATAAAATAGGACCGAAAGACCATGAAGGGAGAAGAAGAGGTGAAAATAGGTAACGGGATGAGAGGAAAACAGGGCTTTATGTGACAAGCCAGGACTGTGAGGAAGGTAAAGGGCAAGAGCAAGAATTTAGACTGAATCAAGAAGAATCGGCATGACAAAGGGCATCAAAGCAGTGCTACAAAATTAACCTGAAAGATTCCCTCCAGAATGTGAGAAGAAGGTTATAATTATAAAATAGAAGATATCATACGAAGACAGATAACAGAGATCACACTTATCCAAGGAAGAAAAATTAGACAGGAAGCAATAATAGTCAAAGCTTACAATAGACAAAAATTTTATAAAGCTGAAAAAGCACCCAAAACAGCAAATCAAAAGGTTTCACTATCTTCTAAGAAAAAAATTAAATGATACCTATTCTGTAGACACATTCTGACAATATCCATATGATTAAAAAATTTAAAGTCCTCAAGCATCTAGGCAGAAAAGGGGAGTTACCAACAAAAGAATGAGGTCAGGCAGGCCCCAGACTTTTCCGCTGTAATAATAAATGCCCATATGTATTGGACCAACGTTGACACAGTACTGAAGGAAAAAGAATTTGGCTCAAGAATTCATTTAGCTAGGTAAGTTGTTTTTCTTATGTGAAAGAAGTGGAGATATATCCTTAGATATAAGATTTCACAAAACGGAAGAACCCTATTCTAACTTAATGAAAGCAGAATTAAAAATATAGGTTCGAGAATGGATTAGCTGTAGTTAAAAAAAAAAAAGGAACAAAGGTGAGCAGTAAAACAAGCTGAACAAAGAATCACATCTAAATCATTACTGTAAGTAGCGACACAGAAGTGAATAAAAATGTCAAATTATTCTTGAAATAGAAAATTATTCCTGAAAGATTAAACATACAATTAAAAAGAATAATTTAATAATTAATTCAATATATTAACAGAGGCTAGAGGAAAAGGGTAAGTATAGAGAAATAAAAGAGTATTAAATTATTAGCTTCACACAGCCTTAAAGCTATCGTTAGTAATTATTAAAAGAGCATATCTTGCCAAATCCTGGAGAAGATAAAAGCAAACACATGGTTTAAATAGCTAAACCAGACATCAAGGAAAATAGCAAGGAGCTATAAAAGATAGCTGGTAGCAATAAAATTAAATGTAAATAAGAAAAACCCCTGGCAATGAAACATGGTCTTTTGGTTATATTACAGATTACCTCTAGCTAAATTAAAGACATACACTTCAAATCAAAAACATAGAAATAGTTAAGACAAATACAAATGAAAGAAAAGCAAGAGGGATATTAATTCTAGACAAAGTAAAATTCAATTCAAAAAGCAATTCGTGACATTAAAAAAGCGATTTTATGTTGATTAAAGTTAAATCTGCAATAAAGGTGTGATTTGTGAACTTCTGTGTACCGGATAACGTAATGTCAAAATATAAGCAGTGAAACCTATTTATAAACAAGGGAAATTTTATAGAAATACAATTTTTGTGGAAAATTAGCAACACAGGATTTAAAAGAAAAAAAATGACACCAGAATTTTGAATATTTCTGTGTTGTTTTATATCATATTATAGGGGGGAGGGGTAGCTGGCAGGTACAAGGATCTAACCCTGCGACCTTGGTGTTATCAGCACCATGCTCTAACCAGCTCAGCCAACTGGCCAGCCCCATATCATGTTTTTAGATTAAAAATATTAACTTCCACAATTAAAAACAAAAATACACACATGGAATAGGATTATTTACGCAAAATGGCAGAGATTATACATGTTATAATAAGTCAAGTTTAAATCATCTATTCTCCCCTCCTTTGAAAAAACTGTAAAACTTAAAACTACTTTCAAAAAAAAATTGTGGGTTAAACAGGAAATCAATTATACATTTTGACCTATTCATACTGACTGTAGAATTTAATCTAGGGCAATAATCAAAGATGTGAGCAGCAATATGTACAAAAGAATGCTCATTGGAACGTTATATTGTAAAAAATTAGAGCAATCTTAATCTTAATTGAACAATAAAAATAATTATATACCCTTGATGTCACTATCAAATGAAACATTAGCATTAAAGGATGACATAATTTTTTTATGGTTAGAAGGGGCTCCATGAAAATATTAATAGCAATTTTCTCTAGGTGGTAAAATTTTAGATAATTTTTAGTTTCTCTTTAAACCTTATATCTTCTATAAATCCTATTCCATTTTCTTAAAGTAATGGCTATTTTAAAAACTAAACATATCTTAGGTACTTTCAGCAATTTCCATCTTCCACTACAACCTCCATCGTCATCTACTTAATCAACTCAACATGAACCAACATATTCTTCACTACCAAATCTTACCTATCAGTGAGCCCTGGCATTAACTAGGCATCAGTGCCCAAGGGCCAGCTTTGTAATCGCTGCTTTAGGGACTACACAAGAGTCACTGTGTGATTACAGCCCTTAAAGAACTTAGACTATGTTAGTAGTTAAAACCCAAAGAGACTGTACATAACCCTATTAAATGGAATAGGATCAATAAGTCACAAAAGTGATGGGCAGGAATTTGAGCCACAACGGTCCAGAAAGACTTCCAAAGAGGAGGTGGACTATCTGAATGTATGCAAGGGAGTAGGGGAGACCGGGAGAATGGAGAGTATCATAAGCAAAACGGCAGGCAGAAGAATGCATGTGGTGGGAGAAAAGGGCAGTGGGAGCAGCGAGGCCTCGGCGTGTAAACTAAGGCTGAGGAGGGAGCTGTGGAACCAGTTAGCAGGTCACAGACGAGGGAACTGAACGCCTGTGTGAAGAGCTCAGGCTTGGCCCAGTAAACAAAAAAGAGAGAAGTCCTTAAATTTACATGGGCCCATGAAAGTGGTGTTTTACAAAGGTTAATACGGTGAACGCAGTCACATAAACTACAGGTGAAAATACCCAGAGAAAGGGAAACTAGCTCAACTGGCCCTTAGCTGTCCAGGACGTGGTGAAGAGAACCTACGAGAGCGGCGACGGTGAGAAGGGAAATGAGAGAGCCACCGAGCGACAGACTTGACTGCGGGCTAAAGGGAAGCAGGACCAGCGTGGCCAGGGCCTCAGCTCGTGGTGGCATCAGCACAAGCGGGAGGGCAGCCTTTTGCACGTAAATCTCAAGGTCGGTTTTAGACGTGTTGGGTCTGGGAGACAATGAAATCTCTGGGTGATGGTGCCCACACAGAGCATCACCCCGACGTGGCCAGGGCCTCAGCTCGTGGTGGCATCAGCACAAGCGGGAGGGCAGCCTTTTGCACGTTAATCTCAAGGTCGGTTTTAGACGTGTTGGGTCTGGGAGACAATGAAATCTCTGGGTGATGGTGCCCACACAGAGCATCACCCCGGGAGCCAGTGTGCCTGCAACAGTCTTGGTTTATACCTGTCGTTCTGCCTTGATCCCCAGAAGTGGCCATAGATTATATGGGTGCTCAGCCTCTAGGCAACTGGAAATATGAAAATAGAAAGTGAAGGATAAAGATGTTAATCTGGGAGGGATGGGTCTCAATATGGTATTTCAGAACATAAGAGTGGGTGACTAAGAAACAACAGAGGGGAAGTGAGTAAGTGCCTAAGAGCTGAGATTGGAGGATACTCAGAGTTAGGAAAAACTAAAAACTAAAGACAAAGAAGGGATGTCACCGTGAACACAGCAGAGGTCAGCGAGTCTGAATGGCAAGGAGAGACTCTCAGACTTGACTAGAAAGTGACCCCAAGTCTCCCTCAACCGCAGGACTTCTGCTAAGTAGTGTGGACACAGGCAAGGTGCACATGGTCAATGAAGCAGCAGGGACGGACGTTAAAGCAGTGAATGTAGATTACCCAGCTCAAGGAGTTTGTCTTAAAACAGGGAGAGAGAGGTCTTGGATGTAGCTGGGGGTACAACTGAAGGGATCAGGTCCTGTAAACGCAGGTGGAGCATCCACCTGAGAAAGAAATGCCCACCACACAGATGAGCTGATGCCGAAACGTGGGCAGGCCAGGAGCAATCTGCAAACAACACTTAGAACGAATCTCTGAAAACTTAGCAAATTAAACCACTTCAGATTCAGTAAAAGAAAGAAATCAAGCCTTCAAGGAGAGCAAAGCCCAAGCATGCAATAACATTGACAAAATTAATGCCACGGGCCAATTATATTTTCATCAGACGTACAACTATAGACACAACATTTACATTTTTTATTTCAGTCACTCCCTAGGAAGGTCATGAGGAACTTTACATGTAACCTTTCCCTGCTCTTCTCTTCCCTCTGTGCTCCCATCCCACCTCCCACATATCCCCCTAATTCTGGCTACCCACAAATACCATGAAATGTTTTTCACCTGTCTGGGCCTGAATTCTTCCTCTGTGAATTATTGTTTCATTCAGCAAATATTTACTAAGCCCCCACTACATACAAGGCATTGTTCTAGCCACTGTGGATACAGCAAAGAACAAATTCAACACACAAAAATCCAGACCCCGTAGAAGTGGACAGACAATGACATCAGTAAGCAAAGCATACAGTAAGTTCAATGGTGTTAAATGCTGTTGGGGAAAAACATGCAGGGAAAAAAAAAAGGACAAGCCAGGCATCGGGTGGTGAGGAATGGCCTGACTGAGAAGATGTTATCTGAGTGGTCCCCGTGGCTGTGCTGAGGGGACAGCACTGAGGCAGAAGGAACAGCCAGAGAAGGCCTGCAGGAGAACCGTGCTGGAAACCTGAGCTTCAGGGATCTATCAATTATGGACAAAATGTCCTGACTCTAACCAGTATCAGTCATCGCTCGGTAAACTGGTTAATCACATGTGCAGCACTAAAAAGGTTTATGTGAACGTGCTTAGCAACGGCCTTATTTTCAGGGAGCTTACTGTCTGGGGAGACAAAACACAAAGACATCACACACTAGACATTAGAACTTACTGGAACACTGGAAGGACTCTTTCCCCAGGAGCGTTTTATCACAAGCCAAACACTGTAGAACCCCAGAGAATGTTCCTGGGACAAACTGATGTCGATTCAATTTCTCTTTGTCTTTGGCATCCTTGCTTTTCGTCTTCAGAAACAGCAGCAGAGAAGTGGGGAAAATGAGAAAAGGAAAGTGCTGTGAGCCGATCTTCTTGCAGAAGTCATACAAGCAAAGTCTCTACATTTTCTGTTGGGGTAGCAGGAATTCACACAGTGGAGCACACCACCACCAAAAGGAAATATTCCCCAGGACTGCTTGTCTTACTATTTCTGATGACTTGGACAATATTCCATAAGAAAAGGTTTGTATAAAATCTATGGTAAGTGATTTTAAAGGGAAAGTGGAAAATATGCTAATTGTTGAGAAACTAAGCCATCTATGTTTTACAGAAAATAAGTGCAGAACCTTAATTACCTTTGACTTATTCCGCGGGCTAGTCATCCTATTCATGAGGAAGCTAAAAGTTCGGCTCACTTTATATTTTTCAGACTCTGCTTTGGCAGGTATGATGTATTTATCCCATTCTTCTTCCTGGATTCTGTAGAAAAGAATCTGTTATCAGGACTTACAGAGGGAGCAAAAAAACAGCATATGCATACATAATACATATGCATATATGTATTATTAAAACTTGAAAGAAATATATACACCTATATGTGTATATGTATGTATGTGTGCACATTTTCAGTTTTTAGTGGTTGTTCTATAGAGAAAGATAGAAACTCTTTATTAAAATATGTTATTGATGAATGAATAGGTGAATAGACATGTGATAAAGCAACTATCTCACAGTGTTAACAATTGTAGAATCTAGGTGGTAGAAAAGGGTATTCGGTATATAATTCTTTCAACTTTTCTCTATACCTGAAAAAATTAATAATAAAATATCAGGGAAATAAAAGATATCTCAGGCTTAGAATATTACTCTGAAAACACTCATCTCCCTGTTCACTACACTATTAGAAATTTCCTAAGGCACAGAGAGGTCAAATAACCAACAATATGAAACTGGATTTTATTTATTTTTGGAACAGAGATAATACTTAGTAGACACATACTTCCTAGGTTGATATGGACTGAGAAATAGACTATCTGTCCCTTGGTTCAGTCTCTCCCACTCAACCAGGGCTATTTGCAATCTGAGACTTTCTAGGTCATACAGGAGAGAAGGCTGTGGGTAATCTCAAAAATAAAAAGCAAGCTAGAAATAAGTGTATCCAATCTATGAACACACAGAACATTGTTTATTTTATTCTAATCCATATAATCATTCTCTAGGGGAAAAAAAAACAAATCCAAGCTATAAAGTGTTAAAATTTCCTTGTAGATCTTCCTCCGATAATCTTATATTTCTAGTATATTACAGAGAGAAGATATATTAAAAATCAACATAAGAACCATGTCAAACCAGGTCACACTTCTGTAGACTGAGCATTTCCCTAATAAACATTATCAGCTATAGTCTCTACCACCCAAACTTCTCATTTTCAGCTTAGTAGCTAGCTACCACATTTGTCTCTGGGAAATACTTAAAAGCAAGACAATTGTTGATATACACCCAAACATATAATTATTACATTTCATGAAAATGTTGCTTTCAATGACAACTTTACAGGACTTTAGTTTTTCTCATCTAATTAATGACAGGCTTAGACTAAATTATTTCTAAGACCCCTTCCCACACTTCAATATGTACCCATCTGGAATATATTACAACAAAACTAAGTTATTTAAGCTCTGTATTAATTACTTCAGAGTTCAAACTTATGACTGCATTTAGAAAAAAAAAAATAACAAAAGGCTTCAGAGCTTCCTCTTAGCCATGCAGATCTAAAGGTGTAGTCAGGACAGTATGTTTCTTGCTACTCGGATCCTGCACAGTAAATTAAATTGGGTTTGCTACTCAGAGAAAAGAGGTGAACAGAATTGAGCGTACCCTACAACAACAGAGAGTAACAAAAAGATCTTCGGTCGTCTCATTTCCTTTCTACTTCCATAGCCACCTCTAGGCCTTTTTCCTGTAGGTAACTGACTGGTTAATATAATCTGAAATTTTCCATAACCTCTGGTGTCTTGGGCATCCTAATTTACAAGACTTATGTCATAATATTCAGTAGGCTTACTTTTGCAATTAGGAAAGAAAAACACATTTGAGAGCTTAAAAAAATCCTTTCTTGGAACAACACCTTTTGTGATCCCACCAAGTACAATCCAATGTTAAGAGCAGAGCAGTGTGGTGAGAAGAACTAAATCTCAGAATTTAAGGATCGTTAGTTCAATGTGGATTTTGAGGTCAAGAAGTCTCCTCCCGTACTTCCCAGTAGGAACACAAATGAACTCTCAAGTAAAAGAAAATTAATTCTTGGTTAATCAACTCTACTTCCGATTCTCCACATTACAGAAGATTATATCAAGAAGAACAGTTTCAGTTTTGACTAAAATTACGTAAGTGCACCCCAATTTGTTACATATCCTATATACTTCTAAAAAATTATATAAAACCATACCACTTAACCTTTTAAGCTTAAAGGTTGATAAGACCTGAGGGATGACAAAGTAAACATAAAAATGCTGAAACACTAAAAAATTAAAAATTTAGAACCATCACCTGATCTGGTAGAAATGTGAGTACCACAGACATAATCCATTATCAGATTATGAGAATGGGTAACACTGTAACCTCTGGGAAAATGGAGAAAGTTTCAAATCTAATTTAAGTATGCAGTATTCACCTATATAACAATTAGGTCCTTTAGACAAGAACTGAGAAAAGAAAGTCCACAAATGATTTCACAATGGAATTTAAATAGCATTTAAATCTGTAAGAATCTGGAAAAAATTAAGTTCTTTTCAACATCCCAGAATAAGAATGTCTAATCTCTTTTACCAATTTGATGACCAGTGAAATCACTTACAATAAAATTTTACAAGCCCTATTCTTCAGGGACTTTCCTGGTATTGCCATTTCAATAGGTAAACAGATATTTAAAATATATTAAGAATATGAATCCTCAATATCTTAACCCTTAATTTGTTATATCTATAACCTTCTATTCTTAAAAGAACTGGGCATCTAAAATATTAAAAGAAGTTCCCACTATACAAATAAAAAATTGACACAAAGGAAATTCTTTAAACACTTACATACTCAGATTTTTTTAAAAAAAGAAAATAGATGTAATATATTTAAGCTAGATGGTGGCGATAAAATAATTGAGGCAGGCCATGTAATTGTTAAGATATTGGGATAGATGGAGCATCTACTGAAATGAGCAAGATATGGAGTTAGCCCGTTTTTATTTGGATGTATCCTTTTCCAGAAACTAAGTAATTAATATACATAAGAGAATTCCAAAGAAGTCAGCTCCCCAGGTAAATATCTACAACATGACCAAAGAAAAGCATTAGGTATAACTGGGGATTTTATTAGCACATCCAACAAGATACCAGGAATTGAGTAGATGAGATGAAAGATCTACTCTACCAGATAGACCAGAGGGTATGACTGAGAGAGGCACATGCGTTCAGGATGAAGACCAAGAAAGATTAAAGAACAGAAAAAAACAGGAGTGATAGGGACTGAGGAATCAGAAAGGGACTCCACATATATCACATTCAAATTAAAACACTTTATAGGCTACTATTTAACCAAGTATGACATTGGCTCTTCCATTCTTAAATCCCTCTCCAAATGGAAAATAGATATTTTTGTTGTTGTTTTTTAATCTTTATAATCAGTCCATTACTTCTCCAGTTGTTAAAAAGATGAGAAGAGAGAAATCTGATAATCAAAATGATGACCAAGATGATGATCAAATTCCAGAATTATGAAGTAAATTGCTTAAGTGAGGTAATAAATTTAAGCTGCTTAACACAGTATAAGGCACGTGAAAACACCCAATAAGTTCCAGTTATTACTGCCACTGCTATCACCATCGTCATCGTCCTACCCTTCAAGGGCATTCTTAGTCTTCCTCTGTTTCATCTAAAACTTTCTCTTCTGGTCTCAAAAAAATAGAAATTAGTCAAAAGAGACTTTCATTCCAAGATTTAAAACAAAATAGTCCACCTTGATCTATACACTAGAAGGTTTTAGAGTTTTAGTGTTAATATCACTAAAATTCAAGCTATTTTACCTTTTCATATGGTCTCTTAAAGCGAAATACTTATGCCACTTTAGGCACTTGTTTTGCACCTAACCTAAAGGCTATTTCACAGTATGACTCATAAAGCTATTTTACCTTTTCATATGGTCTCTTAAAGCGAAATATTTATGCCACTTTAGGCACTTGTTTTGCACCTAACCTAAAGGCTATTTCACAGTATGACTCATAAGCAGTTAGTTATTCAAGACTGAGAGAACTCAACAATCGTGCTTGGATACTATTCTGCTTCCCAAGCTTTACTCTAGCAAGTTTTACCTTCTAGGAAAAATAGACACTTAGGCTTAAAGCTTTCCAATCTGCATTTTCAACCAGAAAATTGATAATACTTAAAGTGCTTTCTGCATCATTTATTCTTTATTTCAAACTTAAAATTGCTAAGCCAAAAACCCATAAAGAGAGACAGCAGGGATGTTTAGGCACTTTCTGTAATTGACCACCCAGGGGCCTGTTATTAGAGTAAGTTGTCCTGTCACAGTGGAACAGACCTACGGAAAGCCTGCTGCCTTTCCAAAGCAGGTAGGCTTCACACTGCTCCCCCGGTCCTGTACACTGAAGATGTTTGGTTTTGAAAATAACTCAAAGCAGAACATCCTGTCCTCCACACCTGAGGACTAAAAGGAGAAGGCTGGCCACTTTACACTGACAGAGGTCACAGAGGGAGCGACGGGTCTTAGACTCATCACATAGAAACCACCCATGAACTAGTGGACAGATATCAACAGTGACATTTCCAAAGATGGATCAAGTGGTCCTTCAGGAAAATGGGAACAGTTAAAGTACCTTTTTTCTTCTGGTGGCTCCGGTAAGCTGTAAGCTCTTTGCTCTACAAGACACAGAACAATAAAATGAAAACTAAGGCAGACAAACCAACAGTCATATGTTAGTCTGAAATGCACACACTCGACTATATTTTATCATTATACACACCACCAGTTAGAAAATAATGAGAAAACAAGCAGTCTTGTGTAAGTAGGGTATTGCCCTGGGTAGCTTTATCACTTTCCCTAGTTTGCAGAGGTTGGGGAGGAGGCCAAAACATGGCAACATTTACTAACTTTTTATGAAACAAGTTAGCATCAGCAAGGGGCAGCAAACATTTCAGAAGTGCAGAAAATTAGTTTTATCTTTCTGGATACTTCTCACCAGAGCTTCATCTTTTATTCATAACACTAATTCCCCAACATACAGAATCAATAAATATCTTAGCAGCTTTTTAGCAAAGCTCAAAGGAAACGTCTTGAAGGTGAGCATGAAGAAGAGTCCATTCTAATATGGCAACAGTGCCTTTATAAAATCCGAGCAGCAGCCAGTTCAGAGATGTGATGTGTGGCTCATGCAAAGGTGAGAACCACCTTTCCCGTTGGACTCATGGTGAGTGGAAGCGCAGGCTCATGCAAGCAGCTTAGCGCCATCCTGTTTCTGGAACTGGAGTACTTACTACAGAGATGAAGCAGAGACACTGACTTAGACAGTGAGAGAGACTGAAGGAAGGAGTGGCCACTGTGGAGCACACCAGGGACAGAGCAGGGACAGATCCTTTACTGTTACAATCCAGAACACTGAAGATGTAAAACTAGGTTGCAAAGGCAATGGGCCAGATACATGAGGAGGAAAACAAACAAATATCTTCGGAAATGTGTAGATATCAATGCTGTACCTAATACTACCTTGTACATAATAAAAAAAAATTGACTGAAGAATGTGAAGGCTTTATTTTATAGCCATTATAAATGTTTTCCTCAAATTGAGTCATAGGCAGAAATCATTATCCTTATTGTAAACGGGCTGAAGTGCCAATAGAATAAGGCACATTTCCAAGAAAATCAAGCTATAAAGTAACAGAACAGACTCAGGCAACTGGATAATATCTAATAGGATTCCATCCGTCGGTTCACAAAAACTTCCCAAAGTATGTTTACTTCACTCCTCAAATTCTTAAGTGTAGAACACTTTCCTCCCTCTTGGTGAGGCTGTAACTATCATTTCAATACTGGTATTGTTCCTTTCTATCTAAATATACAGTGTACCAAAGGGAATTATAAGACTGGTCTTGTTTTATGCATATAAACACTACATAATAAAGTTGCCACTGTTGTACTCCTAGCTCAAAAAAGGGGGGGGGCATAAGAAATGACAGTAACCCTTTGGAAGTGACAAGGAAGAGAGAACATCGCAACGAATAAAAAGGACTGGAAGAGCATCCTATCTCTATCTGCATTATAGCTCATACGAGGGAGCTACTCACTGGGACAAAGGGAAACTTGGACTCTGTTCACATACAGAAAATTCGTAAGACTATTCAAAACTCATCAAGGATTTATAGCAACACAAATATCAACTTACTTTTGATTAATCTAAGCAAACTAAACAATGAAACATTAAAATATTCTTTGAACTAGGCAAACTTTCACACTTATGCTCTGATTACTGGAATGGAGTTAAAATTATGCCTTTGTCATTAGGAGTTAATTTATTCTTCATAGCCCTATTGTTTTAGCTGACCTAACTAGCATTGATCCAAAAACATCTGCAACCATACAGGTCTATCCATTGGAATTTTTGGATATTTTGTGTGCAGCCTGAACATAAATTGCCTGGTTCTAATTCTTACCTTCTGGATAGTATTAAACTTCATTCAAATAGCCCTGTCTTAAATATACTGCCAAAAGACAATGTTGTATTTACAAATAAAAATTTTTTTTAAATAAAATTTTAAAAAAGGAATTGATGTCAGTTTTTTATTCTTTCTAACTCAAATGCAAAGGTTTGTATGTAAGGCGAAGATACCCTTCCTTGTTCATTAAAGAATTAATAAAGCAGTGCTCTTTTTCCTCAGAAACAATCACTTTCCTCTCAGTCATCTGGTCAATAATTTCAAACTTCAGAACTCTCTGACATTATAAACCAGGGATCCCACAGATATAAAGGCAAGGCCATCATTTTGCACAACACACTGAAGACTTAAATAGTTACTGTGTAAAGTTAATTTGCCAGCTAGGACTATCACTGAAAAGGTGTCAAGCTGCTATTAAAAGGAATCTCAACTAAACTAAGGTCGGGGAGACTGGAGATCCCACACAGACCCATGAAATAAAAAGCAAAGATCAAGATTCAATCCATCTTCTTTTTCCTGTCTTCCCAAGGCAGTTGTATCCTTTCTTACTTTCTCTTAGAACTTTTCTCCATCTCCTTATTCTAAAACAAAAACTGACATTATTATCAATTTTGCTTTCTTTTCTTCTAATAATACATCCCAGAAAAGGGGGAATGCAGAAGGGAATAGCAGCACTTATTTTGTATTTTACATATCTTATCTATCATAGTCATTCAACAAATACTTATTGAACCTCAACAATATATGAGTCATGGTTTTAAGATAACAATTTCAAGCACAAAGATGGTATTTTCAGTATTGTTCCACATAGCATAAAAATGCCAAATAATAACAATAATTGTAATAAAGCAAAAAATAAGAAAAAAAGAAGAGAAAGGAAGGAATAAAATAAATCCTATTTTAAATGTTACATATTGGGAAACTGAGAGTATTTAAGTACATCTCTTGCTTTCTGAATCTTTTAAGACTCTTAAGGATTACAGACAAAAAAGACCTTATCTAATACATTAAGAAAAATTGTATTATAATGCTATGTATTACACAGTAATTCAAATGTAATTATTACATGTTATTTACAGAAAGTATGAAATAATTACATTTCAAAATGAAGTTGAAAATGGGGCCAGTGGGTAAGAGTGTCCGGGAGGGGAGCTCTAAGTGGCTGGCGATCGTTCTATTTACAGATCTGACTTCACTTTTGAAAATTCATCAAGCTGTACACATGACTTGCACCTCTTTTCATAGGTATACTATATATAAATTAAAAGTTTACTGCATAAAAGTTATATTTCTGATTGTTTACACTGCCACAAAAAATATGTATTTATTCACGTTACAAATATGTTGTTATTTCAACTAAGTCTCCTGCTAAATAAAGGAAGAAAATCCATTTTGTGATGCTTTGGCTCTCAGGAGTTGGTTTATTTCAGTTTATGCATAAGGGCAAAAGTAATTTTTATAATATACTTAAATAAAATCCTCTAAAGCCCTCAGAATGATATAGCTGGAATCAATTCTAGTTTATACTATCCTTGAGGAAAACATTTTATTCGAAGAATAAAGCAGAGAGATGTGTACATATTTGTAATTTCATCAAAATCAAATCTACAACTTGACTGATATCCAATGAGAAAAGAATTTTGTTAAACTTAGAAAAATCATTTATGAAAACAGAATTGAAAATTCTTGCCTGCTGTTCTTGTATAGTTCATGTGCTTACACTAACTGAATATCTGTTCTGGAACAGAATGCTTTCGAAGCTGAATGGTAAATAATGCTTACCTTCATTTGAATTGCACACTGTAAAGTCACGCACTAACCGAGTTTTTCCTAAAGAAATTTTGGGCGATGAGCAGGAATAAGAACGTGAGCGTATTCCAGAAAGCAATGATTCCTAAAAGAGATCACAGTAAAGTTCTTTTAGTTCTATGTGAGATTTCAAAGTATAGGTTCACCATGAATTTTACTAAGTCAGCATCTTTGAAAGATTCAACCTGAACATTTCTGACAAGATCTTATTAATTATTCATTTTTGTTTGCCTATCACAACTCTTAGAATATTGTTAGTCTTTTTAAGTAAACTTGAGCTTCTGGAAATAGTTTCTATACAAGGGGTCTTCAAAAAGTTCATGGAAAGATTTATATTATCTTTTAATTCAACTTTTCCCTGAACTTTTTGTAGTACCCTCATATGTACTTCAGGATGTAATTATGACATTCCAAACAACTTGGTTAAAATAAAAATTAGGCCAAATGACTTTTTCCTCTGTACATTCAACATTGAGTTTGACTTATTACTATTATCTGAGTTGTCAGTTATTTTATTCTATACTGTAGCATTCAAACAAAATTCTATATTGACTGAGATCACTCTACTTAAGTATTATTAGAAAGTAAAGGAATAGCCACTTATAAGAGTTTTTTAAACTTCCAAACAGCTGCGAGCATACTTCAAAAAGTTCATGGAAAGATTTGTACTACTTTTTAATTGGTTATGAATATTCATGAGATACAGAGCTGATTGTCACCACTGTATCATCTTTTAATTCTATTTTCCACAAACTTTTGGAAATACCCTTGTATTTAAATTTATAATGTTAGCTGCAGTCTGTAGGGAAAAATACAGAAGGTCAATATACAAATCCTTCTAGCCTGTGCTCAATTTTCAACAGACCTTCTATCTAGCACTTCCTGGGATGATGTCTGAATATCATTAAGTTATATACTTTTACTATTATTCCTTTCAAATGACCTACCATTTTTGTTTGTGTTTTCTCAATTACATATTATTTCTATTCTATATTGGCAACATACATGAAAACACAGGATATCAAGATCGTTAAAAAAGTTTTGTTACATGATCCAGAAACTTTAAATGAATGTGCAATTGAATTCCATTAAAGCCATTTATGGTACTCAACTCCTAACCTATACAGGATTTAGAATTGATCCTGCTCTTGCATTTTTAAGATATCACTTAAGATAAAAGCTAAAAGAAAGTAATGCAAAATTCTTTACTAAAATTAGGCCATCAGAAACTGTCCAGCATAGGGCCAGCCCATGGATCACTTGGGAGAGTACGGTGCTGATAACACCAAGGCCACAGGTTCAGATACCTATATAGGGATGGCCGGTTAGCTCACTTCGGAGAGCGTGGTGCTGACAACACCAAGTCAAGGGTTAAGATCCCCTTACCAGTCATCTTTTTTTTTTAAAAAAAAAAAAAAAGAAACTGTCCATCACAAGCACTGGTCTGTTCTGTTCCCTTAAGTGAAAACACATGGTTAGGCTAAGTTTAAAGAGCCTGGAGGAGAGCTGAAAACAGGAGCTTGACCTTGCTTCAAAGGGCCTTGGGCTGTGGCTCCCAACTATCTTATCAGGGTGTGCCCACTGGGCTGGCTGTCAAGAAGGCCAGCCCAGGCTGTCCTATAACCCTAACAGTGAGCTGGCCACACAGGGCCCTAGCCAAATTCCATCCTCTCCATTTAAGTCATGTATGGTAATCATTTTTCATGACAATGGAACTTTGAAAATTGTTCAAAGGCCTTAGGAAAAAGTTATACTGGGTAATTACAGAAGTAAGGCAAGATATATTTCATAGGACTGATTCTTCTTAAAAGTGAATAAGATAAAAGTGTTTCACAAAGACTGAATTATTTTTCATTCCAAGTAATAATGAGTTTTTCACAATTCCATTCAAAATGCTAGAGAAGTATCTACATTAACAACCATATCCATTTTCTTACTATCCAGAAACATCACAGTGCCTTCAGGTTCAAAAGATTATGACAGCTCTGTAGGTTTTAAAGCTGAGGAAAAAGGACCCAGGTCCTTTTCTGTGGTCAGAAGACCTACATTTGAGTTCTGACTCTATCAACAAGCTAGGACAACCTGCTAACCTTTCCAGAACTTTATGTGCTCAAAAAATAAAATAAAAGCACAATTTATGTCCTAGGTGAGTTATGAGAAAATTATATATTTTTACATACATAAAACATGTTTTGTAGAACATGCTACAAAAATAAGGCATTATCATAACAATCCTATGCTCACAGTAAGAGAAGTTTTGACACAGCACATTGTTTTACAGTAGTAAACTCAGTTTAAAGAGAAAACAAGACAATAACAGAAGTATGTTTTCTTCCTGTTTGACTTCTAACACAAAAAAGCTTTCTCTGCAAGACTGAAAGAATGTATTGTTTTTAAGAAAAAAAAAAAAAACACAAAAAAATAAAACTCCAATGTGAAACTGCCAACAAGAAAATAACTGGCACTTTCTCTGCAAGACTGAAAGAATGTATTGTTTTTAAGAAAAAAAAAAACACAAAAAAATAAAACTCCAATGTGAAACTGCCAACAAGAAAATAACTGGCTCCTATGGAAAAGCCGACAAAGTCTATGGTGTTCAAGATTAGTTCACGCAGCCAGGAATGCTCCACAAACATCACCTCTGCTTTACTAGCATTATTTACCTCATTGCCTGGCCAAGCAAAAATTTATGTGAGCAAAACAGGGTTGGTCACTTAAATTCATTTAATACTATCAGTTTTTCTCCCTTTGCTTAAGGGATGATGGTAGAAATCACTGTATGAAATGGTAAAATTTTCCAAGTAAGTGAAAGATGGTAGGTACTGATGGTGAATTAATGGAAATATAAATCAGCCATTCAGAGTAAGGACTAGAAACATTAAAACAGAGTGGGACTAGAAAAATTTAAATAGACTCAATCAAGTATCACATGGGTCTCTCAAACAAAAAAAAGTTCCTATGTGTGAAGAAAAAATAATTAGTCTTTCAGATAGAGATGGAGAGATGTAGACAACATATTCTCCACACTTAAAATAAACCAAATTAATACCAATAAGAATACCTTCGACTGCAGATTACTTGACAGAGAAAGTGATTCAGCCCTGGAGATATTCAAATCCAGTTCAGTGCCGGTCTCAAAAGAGTCCAATTCATCCCCACTAGGAATCCCAGCTCTTGAACTCTGAGTGGCCGGGGTGTAACAGACGCGTGACTGCTCAGACTGCCCCTCGCTTTCGCTGTCAGCATCCAGGGCATCAAGGCTGGAGCTAAAGCACAGAGTGAGCGAGTGAATAAGTAACAGGTAAGCAGACAGAGGCAGTCATCGGTTTCTATGCCTCTGAATTCAGATTCTTTCATTGGCGTGAGGTGCAATGGGTATTCATTTAATTTCCACCTAATATTTAATTAGTTTTATCATTTTTCCTCCCTGAAATCTCTTTTTAAATAAAATTTTACATTTTCCCAAGTAAACATTTCTACCTAGTAAAAGCCATTTCAACTACCTTAAGAAACAAAAGCTGTTTCGAGTTAGCACAAACCTCACTATTTACGTTTTGTAAATGTAATTATTACAATCCCCAAATAGTAACACTTCAAATATTTAAAATGCAGGACAGAGTTTGGATGGAAGCCTCTGCGGGGATATGCCTGTGAGGATCTGCAGCGGGCGTGGCATTCTGTGTTGTCCCCGCAGCCAAGCTGGAAAGCTCAGGAGGGCAGAGGCACAGGGTAGGAGAGACGTGCCAAGGTCTCGCCTCAGAGATGTGTCAAGACACAGGTCAGAAGCAAGTCTCGCCCAAACATGTCACACCAGGTTATCATTTTTAGAGATTTTAAAAAATGATTCCTATGGAAAATCCACCTCTGAACCAGATAAGGATCCTGTTTGACTAAAACTTTTCTTTAAGTTGCATAGCCATTAAATTAAAAGGAAAGAATTTGACCTTCCACATTCCAGGTTCATTCTGTAACATTTACATTTTAAACCACTCAAACTACCAGGCCAATAGCTTTCATGGGCAGTTAACGCACGATGCATTTTTAAATGTATTTTTCTTTGGTTGTTACATTTTTTGAGTTAAAAGTTCAATGAAAACACAATAAAACCATCTTGATTTTGAAATATATAGAACTAGAAAATGGAAGTTTGAATTACCCATTTGGGTCATTTTTATTTAAAAAACATAGGCTATTTAACAGACACAGAATATCAGTTTAATAAATTATGATTCTTGGAACAGAATTCTTACTATGAGTGCCTCTAATTTGAAAACTTAGATCAGTTTCTAATCTTTGAACCATTTCACGGGCCCTACAGGGCACCAGAAATCATGTCCGTAAGTAAAAGCCATGACTGGCACCACTGAGATTTCCAGAGTGGGGTCTTCTTCAAGAACTCATTTGGGACCTTCACCTTGGCATTGAGAAAAAGAGGACAAATTGGAGGTGGGCTTCACACTTGATCTCAATTAACACTTGAATATCTTGGAATCCATTAGATTACTGCTCCTTCACTAGAGGTTCCCTGCCTCTCAGGAACTAACTCACTTACCGATGAGTTAGTTGCGTCACTTTGAGTTCGTTATCAATCATGTTACACACTCCCCCCATGACATCGAATATCTTGGAATCCATTAGATTACTGCTCCTTCACTAGAGGTTCCCTGCCTCTCAGGAACTAATTCACTTACCAATGAGTTAGTTGCGTCACTTTGAGTTCGTTATCAATCATGTTACACACTCCCCCCATGACATCCACTGAAGGGAGGAACCCGTGGCCATCCCAGGGCCAAATGGGGCTTCCTGGGAATTGCCACTCCTCTCCCTTTGTTCCTACATTCTTCAGAGGAAAGGGGGTGCACAGGAGATGAAGTCAGCCTGTGGGACCAGCCAGAGGGTTTTCTGCAGGCCAGCTTCTCCTTCCTCTCCTGTTTCCTTTCTTCCTCCTAAGCTGTGATGTCTTTACAGAGGCTTCTAGATACCTTTAGATGATGCTTTTTCTTATACTCCAAGAGTATACAAGGGAACTTCATGGAAAAATAGAATTAAAAGATAATACAAATCTTTCCATAAACTTTTTGAAGTACTCTTGCATAGTTTCTCTTATATTCTAGTAGATAGTTTTTCTTATATTCTTAAGAGGAAAAATCTATAGCAGTAAAATGTTTAAACTTCTCAGAGCAATACCGTGATCAGAAAGCATAATTTAGATTCTCTGCGAATATTTGCATAAGCGGAACAGAAGACCATTTGTGCCTTTTCCACCCTATATTCCTCAGGTGCCTCCTCTAAAGAACTTACCTCCTGAGATCTGGGGGATCACACTCTCGACAGATCTTAAAGATCCTGCCGGATGCTCTAATCACACACTGTTCAATCCATTTTTGTAGAACTGTACAGAATCTTACTGGGACTGGCAGCGACTTGTCCCAAGCAGATATGTACAGGGCCCCAAATAGCCTACTATTTCACTTTACAGTAATGATCATCCAGCATCTACAAAACTATAATTCACAAAATATAAATCTAAAATAAGTCTTTTATTATTTATGTATCAGACATAATCCTTGGTATCATTACCTGGTACTTAAAGTTTTACAACCTTAAGTTGATATAAGTGCAAAAATAGCATAGTGATTGACACCTACTGGTTGCTGGTTCCTCCCCCTTTCTGTCCTTCCTTATCAATTAAATCTCTGCTGAATGTTTATTCACCTAAGCTGATGTTCATTCGTAGATAAATATTCATATACACATTCACATATGTGTGTGTATTCTATTTTCATTCTGATTCATGATTTTATGTGTAAAACAGTCATGGGGCTAAGACATGGGGGAAAAATAGACTTCCACTTATAGGATAAAATGATATTAGTGAAAACTGGTCCATTCCTTAAGGAAAATGGACAATAGTATGAATGGACAGATACAGATATGGGCGCACACGCACAAATATATGCAATCTTGTACACAATAAAACTATTGTTTTAATGACATTTCTATGTATAACAGAAAATATATGTAAGGTAACCATAAGCTATGGAACATGAAAATAAGACAAATACAATGCGCCCACCCAACTTCTTTATTATTTATGTATCAGACATAATCCTTGGTATCATTACCTGGTACTTAAAGTTTTACAACCTTAAGTTGATATAAGTGCAAAAATAGCACAGTGATTGACACCTACTGGTTGCTGGTTCCTCCCCCTTTCTGTCCTTCCTTATCAATTAAATCGAGGCCCCAGCGTGGAACCCGTGGATTCAGGGCTGGTTTGGGCAGTGATTCCCTCTGTGTTAGCATAGTTGATATCCAAATCGCCAACCTAGATGTTAAAAGAAAAATATTTGCTGAGCAAAAGCAGGAAAGATTGGCTTAGCTAAGAATTAATAGAATTTTCCCAGTTAAAAAACCTTTCACCTTATTTGTCTTTTTGTTTGTTCTTGTTTTTGTTTTGTTTTATGTAAGCAGATATGTTTTATTCATAAGTTTTTGTTCACATGGTCGCTTTCCCATAATTCACAAAAAGGAAGAAGACCAACCATTTTACAACGTTGTTCTTTATTACAAAACCTGAAACTGATTATGCTTTTAACATTTTATGAACCACTGACTCAAAATTAGAGGAAAATGTTTTAAATACTTGAGGAAAAAACTAAAGAGTATACAGCTTTCTTCAAAAAGTAGTTTATAGGGATCTGGATAAGCAAGGTAACGGTGGTCACATAAATCTAAGTCTCCCCAAAACAAACAAACTAAAAAACCAAAAAGAATAAAACTACATAAAGTGCATGTATATAACAATTAGAAGACAGAAAATGCCCCAAACTTCCAATTACCTGTAAAGAATAAAATAAACATGAAATACAGCAAGCAACCCCTTGTGCTCCTACCATAAGACTGTGCAGAGTAAGGGCAGTCTGGGAAAATCTGAATGGCAGCAAGAATGCTCACAGCCTTATACCTATGGCATGAAAGAGTTCTGGTTTATCAAAGAGCTTGTTCTAAGAAAGGGGCTTCTAAGCACTCATGATTTCAGGTGATTGTCATCAAAAGGCATCATTTCTGGGGAAGAGAAGAGTAAAAACGAAAATAGTGGCACCATGTGGAGAAAGGATGATAAAGGGTAAAGGAGACAAAGGGGGGAAATTTAGGGTGCTGAGTCATCAAGCATCATCATAATAATTTACTGAAAATAGTGGCACCATGTGGAGAAAGGATGATAAAGGGGAAAGGAGACAAAGGGGGGAAATTTAGGGTGCTGAGTCATCAAGCATCATCATAATAATTTACTGAGGCAAAAACAATAAATGAATGGTCAAACTAGTGGGTCAAAGTCCAATGAATAACAGGATATTTGCAGAGACTCAAAATACCTCCCAATAACTTACAATTTTTAAGAAGAAAAAAATGGTAATTTTACAGAAAAGAAACTTGGCAGAACAAAGATAAAAATCACCAGTAATGGGAAAGACTGATGTCATGTGCCTCCTGATAAACGCATCAAAAACAACACATCATCGCTTCCATAGTATTCCTCCCAAACATGCATAACCTGAAGTTAATTAAGCAGAAATATCAGACAACCAAAACTGAAAAGCATTCTAGCAAAAACAAACAAATAAACAAGCAAAAATTATTGGTCTGTATTCTTTAAAAATATCAATGTCACAAAAGACAGTAACTGAGGAACTGTCCCAGATTAAAGGAGACTAAAGAAACATGACAACTAAATGCAACACATGTAATGGAATTTTCTTTTGCTATAGGGACAACTGGCTAAAATTGAATAAGGTCTGGAGATGGCTAATAGTACTGTGTCAATGATAATTTCCTGATTTTGGTAACTATACTGTGCTTATGTATGAGAATGTCTATGTTTTTAGGAAAACACACCATGAATAATTAAGGGGTAAAGGGGCACCTTATTTTCAATTTATTCTCAAATGGTTTAAAAAAAATTTACACACACACATTGATCATTTGAGTGCATACCTGCATGCACACATACAAACACACACTCAGAGAACAATAAAATAAAATGTGATAAAATATTAACATTTGGGGAATTTGGGTAAAGGGTATACAGTGATTCTTTGTACTGAAATTACGTAGGCCTATAAGAACATTACTGTTTTTTGTGCACTGATTTTGTATCCTGCTACTTTACCAAATTCGTTTATCAGCTCTAGGAGTTTTCTGAAAGAGGTTATGGGTTTTTCTATATATACATAGGAACGTGTCATCTGAGAACAATGACAATTTGACTTTGTCTTTTCCAATTTGGATGCCCTTTATTTCTTTCTCTTACCTGATAGCTCTGGCTAATACTTCCAGTACTATGTTGAATAGGAGTGGTGAGAGTGGGCATCCTTGTCTTGTTCCTGTTCTTAGAGAAAACCTTTCAGTTTTCCCCCATTCAGGATGATGTTGGCAGTGGGTTTGTCATATATGGCTTTTACTGTGTTGAGATACTTTCCTTCTATACCTAATTTGTTGAGCATCTTTATCACAAAGAAATGTTGAATTTTGTCAAATGATTTTTCTGCATCTATTGAGATAATCATATGCTTTTTGTCCTTACAAGCAGAAAAAGAAAAGAAAGCAAGCACATTTACGATAGCAACCAAAAGAATAAAATACCTAGGAATAAATTTAACCGAAGGGGAGAAAGATCTCTACAGTAATAACTACAAATTCTGCTGAAAGAAATTAAAGAGGACACCAAAAGAAAGACATTCCTTGTTCATAGATTGAAAGAATTAGCGTGGTGAAAATGTCCATACTACCCAAAGCAATCTACGGATTCAATGCAATCCGCATCAAAATACCATGACATTCTTCACAGAAATAGAAGGGAAAAAAATCCTAAAATTCATACAGAACAACAAAAGTCCCTGAAGAGCCAAAGCAATCCTGGGCAAAAAAAATAAAACTGGAGGTATTATACTACTTGACTTCAAGTTATACTACAAAGCAATAGTAACCAAAACAGCATGTACTGGCATAAAGACAGACAGATGGACCAATGGAACCAAATAGAGGACCCAGAAATCAACCCACATGCTTACAGCCAACTGATCTTTGACAAAGGCAACAAAACATACTTTGGGGAAAAGACACCCTCTTCAGTAAACAGTGCTGGGAAAACTGGATATCCATATGTACAAGAATGAAACTAGACCCATACTTCTCACCATATACCAAAATCGGCTCAAAATGGATTAAAGACTAAACTATAAGACATGAAACTATAAAACTCCTAGAAGAAAACATAGGGGAAATACTTCAGGATGTAGGACTGGTCAAAGATTTCAGGAATAAGAGCCCAAAAGCACAGGCAACAAAAAAAAAAATTTTAAATGGGATTATATCAAATTTAAAAGCTTCTGCATAGCAAAGGAAACAATTAACAGACTGAAAAGACACCCTACTGAATGGGAGAAAATATTTGCAAACCATACATCCAACAAGGGACTAATATCAAGAATATACAAGAATTCAAACAACTTCACAGTACAAAAACAAAGAATCCAATTAAAAAACAGCCAAAGGAACTAACAGACATTTTCAAAGACATACATACAAATGGCCAACAGGTACATAAAAAAATGCTCAACACCACTAAGCATCAGAGAAATACATCAAAACCACACTGACATATCATTTCATCCCAGCTAGACTAGCTATTATCAAAAAGACAGAATATCAAATGCTGACGAGGATGTAGAGAAAAGGGAACCTTCCTACACTGTTGGTAGGACTATAAATCAGTACAGCCATTATGGAAAACAGAATGGAGGTTTCTCAAACAACTACAGATAGATCCTCCGTATGATCCAGCAATCCAACTTCTGGGTATATACCCAAAGGAATGGAATTACCATGTCGAAGGGATACCCACCCTCCCGTGTTCCTCGCAGCTCTATTTACAATAGTCAAGATATGGAACCAACCTAAATGTCCATCAACAGATGACTGGATAAGGAAAATGTGGTATATATACATAATGGAATATTACTTGACCATAAAAAAGAATGAAATTCTGCCATTTGCAGCAACATGAATGAGTTTGGAGAAAATTATGTTAAATGAAATAAACCAGGCACAGAAAGAGAAATACCACATGGTCTCACCCCTAAGTGGGAGCTAAGAAACAAAGAAAGAAAGACCATATTAAAACATTGAACTTTCAGAAGGAGAGAACAGACTTATGGTTACTAGAGGTGGGAAAGGAGGAGGGGGAGGGAGAATAGGGAGTAACTGGGTAAGGGACACAAAAAGTAACTACTATTTGTAATGATGAACACGTTAATAATATTGATTTGATCATCACATATTGTACACAAATACTGATAGTCAACTGCGTCTCCCATAAATACATAGAAATAATAATAATATAAAATTAAAATAAAATACTAAAAATAAGACCCCCCCCAAAAAAAGAAACTATGTAGAAAATTACATCTAAATATAATGTTTTTTTCAAAGTGTATATGAGAAAGAAATTTTCACAGTAATTTTTATCTTGTGAATTTCCTCATTAGGTAGGTCAATAACCTTGAGAATTAATGGAAAACAGCATAGCATATACTCTAGCAATGTTTTGCAGTTTCTGTGCCAGGTTGAGAGAGACAAAAGATATTAGATAAGATTCTTTCCAGATATTGCTAGAAATTATTTTAAATATGCAAATTTGGGCCTCTCACTTTGTCCTTGCTATTCAGGTAGACAGAGGAACAGTAAAAGAGACTATATGGTAGCTATACTACACTGATATAATGAACTTTGTGATTTCTATGAAGGTTTAGTTTTATTTAACAGTTTTCATTGTACAAATTTAGCAATCTTCTGCTATATTTAAATCAACTGAGTCAAGCTGTTTGGGTTCTCTTTAAATGTATATTTCACATTTTTTAATTTTTTGCTTCCCATTATTCACCCAAAATATTCTCAGAAAGAACTTATATACTAATCTCATCTGTGGTTTGGTAAATTTTGCCCTTTTAATGAATTTTAGAACATATAAAAACATAGTTTCTCCACATAATTTTGAGTCATTTACAGTTTTAGCTACTTGACATAAACGGAAATTCTACAGCATTCATTGTGGTTCAGAACAAAAAGAAGTAAGGATTCAAGAAGTATTTCATTTAAACTGCTGAGAAAATATTACAACAGAATAAATCCATTAAAATCAGAATATGTCAAAGCTTTGCACACTGAAAACTATAAAACTGATGAAGGAAATAAGAAGACAAAGATAAATGGAAAGATATCTTATGTTTATGGATTGGAAAAATTAATATTGACAAAATGTCTGTACTACCCAAAGCAATCTAAAAATTCAATACAGTCTCTATCAAAATTTCAATGGCATTTTTCACAGAAATAGAAAAAACAATCCTGAAATTCACATGGAACCACAAAAGACACACAATTGCTAAAGCAATCTTGAGCAAGAATAACAAAGCTGGAAGCATTCTCACTTCCTCATTTCAAATTACATTACAAAGCTATAGTAATCAAAACAGTATGGTGCTGAGACAGTAGATGAATGGAAGAAAATAGAAAGTCCAGTTATAAACCCACACACATATGATCAACTAATCTTTGATAAAGGTGCAAAAAATACACATTTAATAAATGATGTTGGGAAAACTGGATAGCTACATGGTAATGAAATTGGATTCCTATCTTACACCATACACAAAAATCAACTCAAGATGCATTTAAAACTTAGAGGTAAAAACCTAAAATCACCATGAAACTGCTAGAAGAAAGCATAGGTGGGAAAACTTCATGACTACCCTCCAGGAACCTCCACGTGGTTCAAGTATCCAGAAGCTCTCTAACCCAGTCCTTTTGGATTTTTATGGAAGCTTCATTATGTAGGCATGATTGGTTCAATCACTGGCCATTAATGATCAACTGAACCCTCAACCCTCCTCCCCTTAATTCCAACCCCAGACTGTTAGGGGTGGGTTGAAAGTCTCAACCCTCTAATCATGCCTTGGTCTTTCCTTAACCAGCCCCCATCCTGAAGCTACCTAGGAGCTGCCAGCCACCAATCAAGTTAGCATACAAAAAGACACCACTTTGGATAGTCCAGGGATTTCAGGAGTCGTATGCCAGGAGATGGGGACAAAGGCCAAATATATGTTTAATAATATCATAGATTCCATACACACACAGCGAGAAACATTATTCAGCCTTAAATTTTAAAAAAAGGAAAAAAAACACACAAGGAAAGAAAATCCTATCATATCATTTGTAAGAACATGGATGAACCTAGAAGACATTATGCTAAGTGAAATAAGCCAAAAACAGAAAGACAAATATTGCATGATCTCGCTTATATGCAGAATCTAAAACAGTCAAATTAATAGAAACAGTGAGTAGAAGGGTGGTTACCAGCCGCTGTGGACTGATTCAATTTTGTCCCCCAAATTCATATATTAATAAGCTTAATTCCCACTGTAACTCTTGACGGTGGGAAATCCTATTAACGGTAACTGAAAGGTGGGGCCTTGAAGAGTTGATTAAATTATAAGACCATGACATGGTAAATGGATTAATAATGGTGGTCCAGTGCTGGTTCTGAGGACTTTAAAAGGAGAGTGCATGAGGGACTATTTCTCTCTCTGTCCCACCAATTTGCAATGTGATACCCTGCTGTCACTGAAGTCACCACCAAAGAAAGCCTTCACCAGATGTTTTCCCTGCACTTTGGACTTCCAGTCTCTGAAATAGTAAGCAATAAATTTTGTTTCTCATAAATTACCTAGTTCCAGGTATTTTGTTATAAGCAACAGAAACAGACTAATACACTAATGGTTGGGGGGTGGGAAATATGGGGAGATGTTGGTCAAAGGGCACAAGCTTCCAGTTATGCAATGAATAAGTTCTTGAGACCTAATGTACAGAATGGTGATTATAGTTAATAACAATGTACTGTATACTTGAAATTTGCTGAGAGTAGAGCGTAAGTGCTCCCACCACACACACAAAAGGGTAACTATGTGAGGTGATGGATATGTTAAATTAGCTTGATCGTGGTCATATAATGTATTTGTATATCAAAACATCACACAGTACACCTTAAATACATACAATTTCTACTTGACAATTACACCTAAATAAAGCTGGAAATTAATAAACAAATTTCAGAACACAGCTAGATCATACCAAATCTGATTACCCTGCATGTTGAAAGAATGTCCCCAGAACTCCCACTTTGTCCTAAACTCCGTGCCACTTCCTCAATTTCTATAACTAGCATTGACATTCAGCTGATTTATACCAAAACAACTATATCAGGTATTTACAGCTGATGTCCATTCTGATTTATTGGTTTCTCTGTCATTTTGAATACCATCCCTACCCCTGCTATTAATACTATGGATTTGTTGTAACTACTTTATAACACAAAAGGAAAAGGCAGAGATATTCAACTAAAGGGATGAAATTGAGATATTCTAGGCAGAAAAAAATGTTTATCACAGAAAACATTGATAAGTAACAGGGTAAACTATATGCATACTAACAACAAAAAGGTAAAATGCCTTATTGCCCAATGAGTGTATACATACATATATATATATATACACACACATATATAGTACATCTTATACAGGGATTAGGTTTTAAAGTCAGTAGATAAGGCAGATATTGCATGTTGTCAAAATTACCCCTGAAAATCCCTTAAATTCCCATAAATTAGGGTGGGCAGAAATCTTCAGATCTATATTTTAATTTTTATAAACTCTAAAATTTGAGAATCACTGTGCTAGAGAAAAGAACAGAAGACAAGTCCAGCCTTATGTAGATGCTGGTACATTCACACCATCTGCCTTTATAAAATTTAACTCAAAAGTCTATCAAGGAATGCAGAGAAAATTCTAAAAGGTCCGGCTTCCCTGTAACATAGCACCATTCTGTTTTAATACTAAAGCTCTATAACCTTAGTACATGCTAATAGGTATGCTGTAAGGATTACATGTGACAAGTAATTTATCACATGGGGCATCATAGCATCAATACATGGGGCTGGAACCAAGCACTTGCTCATTACCATTGATTTGAATACAAATACTGCTTAATCAGGTCATATACACAGTTTTTCTGAAAAGCTGTAGAGAGGACAGTGGTTGCCCAGTTGCCATTTCCTATTTTGGCCCTACTGAGGAGCTCACAGTCCTCCCAACTGGCAGAGTCTCCAGAGCCCTCCCTTAGGGTGCTTCCTGGTGGGGTAAGGAGTATTATGTTCTGAAGTAAGGTCCTAAGTTAAATGCGCATATAATGAGACTCCACAGCAGCACCCCCTGGGCTGCCCTTAGTCTGACATTTTCCAAGGAACACAACAATGCTGACTCTATCTCTCACATACTCAGGTTTCGGAAAGAGGTACAGATCCACCTGGTAATGTCAGTAGAGCCTCACCTGATCTATTACCATACAGTTAGCATAGACTTCGTCATCTCCATTCAACAAATCGGAAAGCCGGCCTGCACCAAGGAACGTTGAGGGATGCTTGGATTTTTTAAGGACATCAAAGGAGCGATCTAGAGGAAAAATGAAAACAGGAAGACAAAGCAGAAGGAAATTATTTTACGCTCAAGCTTTACCTTCTTTGTCAAACCATAAGGAAAAAAATCAAGAGTGCATTTTTTAAGATAGCATTTTGCTGTCTTCACATGTTAACATCTATATGCAAGTATTTTCTCTTCTATATCCAAACTTCAGTGATCGGGAACCTTCGTGTAGAATGAATAGTTCTAGATAGATAAATATTTGCCCACTTCCAGCACTATTTTTTCCATCATTAGAGATCTTGTAAAATCAATTTAGAACTTTGCCTTCAATTTCGAACAGACTAAACTAAACTTCATTTCCCTTCACTAATAACTTAGAAGCATTAGTGATTATACTATGGTCCTCAGGTCTACTGGTGTGTTCAGACTCAATGACCCTTTACTAAAAGGACACAGGATAGCACAAAGCTTAGCAGTTCTGGCTCTGAACATGCATAATCTTATATACAGACAGTTTTCCTTCTATTTTAATTACAGAAATTTTTTTGCTTGCTTCTGTGTTCTCAGCTTTGTTCCAAATAGATGAGGTTGCTGATAGTTAAGTCCCAGAGAGTTGAGATGTTACTGTATTTGTAAGGAATAAAGAGTTGAAGGCAATAATACATATCCAAGCCAGAATGCTTTGCTTCCTGTGACCTTGGCTAATTTATTAAATCTCCAGATATATTCATGAAGTTTCCTCATCTGTAAAAGCAGATTATTATTATTATGCTTCCCTCATAGTGTGACTATGAGGATTAAATGAGTTCAGACATGTAAAGCACTTGACACATGCCTGATACTGTGTCCAATAAATATTATTTGCCACTGTTATTATATTTACTATTATTATGAATAGTGATTTTATACACGTTCAGCATGAGGTTCAAGGTTATTAATACTGTCTTTGTGTTATGCTAATAATACATTATCAAAATCTGTAAATGACTTTAAAGGATAGATTCAATGTCACATCCATAGAAAATGTTCAGCATGAGGTTCAAGGTTATTAATACTGTCTTTGTGTTATGCTAATATACATTATCAAAATCTGTAAATGACTTTAAAGGATAGATTCAATGTCACATCCATAGAAAATGTCTTTCTCACTTACGTTCCAGTAAGTTTTCCTAAGTGGGTACAAAAGGGACAGTGTTGCCTATATTCCGTTAGAAATGGCCCATGTCCCAACTGCCTGTCTTGTCTATGTGATAGCATAAAATCTGGATAAGCCATGAGAATGAGTCGGAAAATGAAAAAAGATTACCAACTGTGGGGCTGATGTACCATGAGCAAAAATTTATATTCCTTCATAGAAAGTCCTGGATGACATTACAAAAGTTACAAAGATGCACAAATTATACAAGCCAAATAGCCCTGTCTTCAGATTCTGCATCTAAATCTACCTCTTTCCCACTGAACACTGAAGCGAGATTTTATTAAGCTTCATGAGGAAATATATAATGTAAAAGGAAAACTGTTTCTTCTCATATCCATAAGGTATTCTTTTATTAACTTTTTAAATAGTTAGCAATATAATATATCCAAAGTCAACAAATACTACACAAGTATAACCTTTATGATCAATCAGTATACATTTTCGTTCTAATTACACAAAAGAAAAGCATGCTCCAAAGGTTATAAATCAAGAACCTGACAAAACACTTCCAATGTGTTCTAAAGTAAGAAAATTCTTGCTCATTTGTCATTTTACAGATTTAAAAAACAATCATAAATAACTCAACATGGCCCTCTGAAGTCCAATTAATCCAGCTTAACTCCCCTACAGGGTCATAAATTCACAGACTGTAAAACATCTGGCATTTCTGCCATTATATTTGGAGGCTGTTCGTGCTCCTTTTTTAATGACTGCCTGCCAAATTAAGACTTCATTGATAACCAGACTGAACTAAGATCTAACAAGATATTCAACAACATTGCAAACAATTGATGAGTTTCATTTCTAAAACATAGAACCAAATGAAATACTACCCCAAATTGTGTGGCACCAGTGAATGCATGGGTCCAGTCCTCCAACAGCCATGTACTTAACTACCAAGAGAGAACTCTTCCTTCAAAACTCTGACTGCTCACTTCAAGGACGAGCAGAAACAGAAACCAGTGCTGTTTTCATGATACAGATAAAAGGCACTTGGATTCAACTTTCTCTAACAAACCAATCCACCTGGCCCTATGTCAGAATCTACAAGGAGATCATATCCAAGCAGTTTAATAACTAAAAGATGGCAGAGTCTGGTTACTTTGTCCAAGGTGGGGTCTAATTTGTTTTTGCATAATTAACTCAGAAAATGATATAATTTACTTACAAAGACACGTCTACAATCTCTTAGCTGCAATTCTGAAATCTAGAAAGCTCTGAAAATCAAAATATTTTTTCATAAGTTTGGTTCAGAAACATATTTGGTGGCAAAATCTGACCTGAGCCCATATAGGACCGGCATAGGCTTTATATACCCCACCTGGTATGAACATTCATACATTTTGCCACAGGAATATTTGATATGCTTGACAATGGCATTGCCCCAGTATCTCCTATGGGAGTCTTATCATACATAGTATAAGCACCATGTCAAAAAAGATCTGAAAGTTCTGAATTCCAAAACAAATCTGGTCCCAAAAGCATCAAAGAGACTGTGGATCTCTACAAAATTAACCATGTCAGATATTAAAACAACACTTCCCAAGCTTTTGTCATTCCTCTATCAAATTCACAATTTTGCCATATCTACACATCACCTATATTATTATATACTTTAGTACTTGTCTTCAGATTAACTCACCTTTTTTCTTTAAATAAAATTATTTTTAAAGGAATACCTTATCCCCACTGTAAACAGAAGGCCAGTATCCCATGCCAAAAGTAGAAGGAATTATACATACTAAAACAATGAAAACAATAAAATTAAATTCTGACTAAATACGGCTGCCTATCAAAGCTGACAGTCTGAGAGGCCCACTATCTCTCTTATAAACAGAGATTCTGAAGGATTCGAGGAGTTTTACAGATGCAGAGGTACCACACTGAGAATCTCTCTTTTAATTAACAAAGATCAAAAAAAAAAATTGAAAAGGAAATACCTGCCTGACTGTATGATTCAATGTTATCTAAGTTGGCCATCTCTAAGATGGACTGTTCCCAGAGGAATTTATCCTACACTTTGGAAAAATGGCCTAGATCATGTCATCACCCTGTCACTCAGGTAATGACTGCACTGGACAGTAAGTCTTGTCAGGGGGGGACATGACTGTTCAAGAGCGTAAGACAACAGGGAAGAGGGGAAATCTTTGTCTCCTCTCCAGTTCTGTCATCCACAACCTGCCAGGTAGATTTAGTTGGGTCACTCACTGCAAATATTTATAAAATTGGCATGAAAGTCCATTGAAGTATCTCTCTGGAGCATCCACAGCCTCCATTCGTAAAAGGACACCTCAAGATAATAGGATCTACAAGTGAACACAGACTGACAAGCTAGAAAATGACACAGACTAATAGGAGCCACCGTCCTTTATTAACTTCAACATTAGTCATTGCAAAGAATGGGCTAAAACCCAGCAGAACAAGATTGAGTGTTAAAAGAAAATAAGCCTTCAACAGTACTTTTAAAATAAACATCAACTACATATATTAAAAAGTGGCTAATTGCTCTACTGTATTTCAGCCCATTCAAAGAAAAAGCCACAATTGTTTCATTAAAAAAAAAAAGTCTGCTCTTTTCAAGATTTTCAGGAAAAATGATTTTATGACTTCCATATGTAACTACTTCAGTAGAAAATTAAGCAAAAAATTATTGGCCCCCCACCCCCCAAATGTCCCGCAGGTTCTTTTTCAATGAGTATATAGAAATAATTTGCAATAAGAACACCAGCTCTGTCTTAAATTAATGCTGTCTTATGAACAGCTTTCCTTAGCAAAAAGTTAACTTTATAGCTTTGTTGATAGAATTAATTTTTAATATTTGGTTAACCCACATTTCAAAGAGCATGAAAGTAACCAAAACTCAAATTCCATTCAAATGGCTACAAATTTTAAATGAGTAGTTGTAGTCGTTGAGAGCATAGGCCCTGGAGCCAGATATGTGGGTGCCCCACTCCAGCATCTATAGCTGGGTGACCTTGGGCATATTACTTAACCTCTCTGTGCCTCCATTTCTTGATCTGTAAAATAGAAACAATATATCTATCACATAGGATTGTGTAAAACTTAAATAAATTAATATTTTAAGTGATTAGAACAGAATATGACACATAGTAAGCACTATGTAAATGTTTGTTATTATTATATAAATAAAAGAGGTTGTGGAGTTTGATGCTTTCATGTAATTTTAATTTTTTTTAAATTAATTTCAACTCTGGCTATGACTTTATATGTTTAAAAACAATCCAAGGCAAATGGAATGCACAAAACTTTCTGTTTGCTACGCAAAGAGCACTTAAAATGTTGTAACTTTTATTTCAGACTTAGCTCATGTTAAGAAATTCTGTAAAGTCCATCCTGGACATGGTAGCTGAAAAACATAAAATGTGAGGAGAAAAGAAAAGCTGTCAAACTGCCTATTGGATTTACCTCCACTGATTCAAGGAAGAGGTCTTATGAAATAGGAGGGATTATAACTGCAGGAAGAAAAAAGAATAAAGTCAGACAATCAGAGACAGCCTTTCTCAAGAACAAAGGGAGGATTTCAGAAACTAAGATGTTCTAACATGATGAAGTGGACTGGGGCCAGCTTCTCACTGCAGAGCGCCTAGAGGATAAACAGTAACTCCAAGGGGATCCCCAGCTCTCCCCTCCCCTGTTATTCTGGTCGCTTTGTAACGTGATCTAGTAACTCTGCAAGGGCTCCCTGGAGCAGAAATTTTCCTCAGCCCTCTTAGGTGAACAGGAGAGACGACTGAAAGTAAGTTTCACCCATAGATGGAGGGTGAGCAAGCACTGAGAAGGCGGAGAGGGAAAGGCATCTGCGGACTCCCTTCTCT